CTATGATAATGATATGATGTGTAAAAAAAATATGTAAGATTATCATGTCGTAAAAAAAGAAATATCTCTCTCAGCTTATATTATATCTAGGGCAAGAAGAGAATACGCCATTCTCCAATTAGGGTTTTCGCAGAAACAGAGCAATAATCATGTCTCCTCTGCTTCTTCTGAGGCGGCTGTTGAGGCCCTCGTTCCCTTCGTTGGTGAGATCTTCTCCTCTTGGTCGTGGTCTTGCATTCTCTAGTGGCTTCTCATCGGGATCTTCTCTTGGTCGTGGTCATGGTCTTGTATTCTCTAATGGCTTCTCATCGGGATCTTCCTCTCAATTCCCTCCTTGTTACGTCGTGCGCGCTTTGCCTTGTGGAGAGGAGGACCTCCGAATACTTCAAATTCACAAGGCTAATGAAGCTAAGGACACTCTTTTGGAAAAGAAGGTGCATCGTGAGTTGGTGGATGAAGATACAATAATAACGATCGGAGCATCCTATGGATGGGTTGGTACTTTGAAGGAAGACGGAATTCTACGTCTCCAAGACGATCTAAACCCGTTCGCATCTGATTCCGACCCAAAACGCATTCCCTTGCCTCCTTTTGTAACTCTGCCTGGTTGCCAAACTCAGGTCGTGACCAATGTTTCAATGTCCTCTTCTTCTCCAGAGGATGAGGATTGTGTCGTTGCTGTCAAGTTCTTGGGTCCTCAGCTAAGCTTTTGCAGACCGGCTCAGAGTAATCCCGAGTGGACCAACATCAGAATCAAGAACCAATGTTTCTACTCCTCGCGTGTCATGTTTTCGAAGAAAGATGACATGTTCTGCATGCTCGGATCTGGAGGCTACTTCATTGGATCATGGGATCTCAAGGATCCCAAGGAAAAACCAAAGATTCAGAGGTTACGGTTTCAAAACCTCCCCGAGCTGAGCAAGACCAAATGCGAGCTTTTGCATTCTTGCTCCACGACCGAACACTTGGTCGAGTCGCGTTCCACGGGTGAGACTTTCTTAATCAAGTGGTACAGGAGGGCCACTACCAGGGGTACGGTGAAAATGAAAACAAGAGATCTTATGGTGTTCAGGCTTGACGGAGAAGGAAACGCTCTTTACACTGAAAACATTGGAGACCTCTGCATTTTCCTCTCAAAGTCTGAACCTTTTTGTGTCCCTGCTACCTCCTTCCATAGCCTATTCTCGAACTCCATCCAAGTCTTCGATGTTGACGAATACGGCGTTGTCATACTCCGCCAGTATTCAAGCTCTTGCCTCATCAGAGCTCATAACATGACATACGTGGCCCCTTACCATTTTCCACCTCAAAATATATTTTAGACTAGTAGTTTTGAGTTGATTGAGCCTCTTTTTGGATTTGTTAATCTTTCGTATGTGTTTTTCTTTTAATCTTTGTATTTTTACATTAATATGCATAGTTTTTTGCAGAAAATTTGTTTCAACAATCTCCCCACTAATTATGATGTTAGTAGCAATCATTCATTTATGCAAGTTACCAAACTCCTCATTTATGCAAGTTACCAAACTCCTCATAGATTTTTATATCGATTTGTGCCATTATGTCCAAAATAAAGCATCGTGGCCTGCAACGAAGGCATCAATAGTTTCAAATTAACTCAACTTTTCTTGTCAAACTCTTGTTTATCTGACCTTGAACATAGCTATAGTCAGTAGTTATATATGTTTTAATGCAATTCTTATAGATATATAATTCCGTGTACGTGTTATGCATAGAATTAAAACTTTTTGGTACTTGTAGTATATATACATGACTTTGTCCATATCATCTAGTGGTCTCTTCTGGTTCATATTCTTCCGTACAAATATCATAGATTCAGTAGTAACACTGAAAGAGCCTAGCATAGGAGCCTAAGCAAATTTGATGGTTTAAACAGTTTTGTAGATAGTAGTCTCTGGTTTCATTGTGATTTGAGGACTCATCTCTATTTGTCGTAGTTTC